CATGGTCATCATTCATAGAAGGCAACATGCTCCAGTAAGAAATTGCCGTGAAGTTGCGTTGCTTTGTTAGGCCTGCTCTGCTTCAAATGCTCTTTATTGTCGTGTGACAGAGTCTATTACTTTTTCACAAATGGCCAGATTTTTCTGAATATGTGTTTTTGGTTTTTCTGAGTGAATGAAATCCAAATCTACTTTTTACATTAATTATTGTACTTATTCATTTTTTTATTATTATTTAAAACACATGTACACGTAGATAACTGTGGAAAAACAAATGCTGTGCTTCATTACCAAAGCAGCCAACTCTTAGCTGTACTCTGTCTGAACAGCATAACTCTTGCATGTCTCTGGATAATTGGAACCTGGCGAGCACAAAATAAACCCTTTGTGTTTTAAAAGTGGGTTCTGATGTCAGGGGATTTGGTCTGATCCCCTCCAACATGTGGACTTGTTTTGCTCTTTCTTTTAAGTATTGCTTTGTCAGCGCTGGACGATCATTTAACCGTTCCCAACCGTCTCCAGGGCGCAACTGAATTCAACCCACTGAGAATTGGACGTTCAGATTTTCTTTCTCTCAGAGAAGTTAATGCTGCTCTTTATAGCATCACTAGCTCTCATTGGTGTTAAATGTGTCTAATGTCAGTGGGAAGTCAGTTTCTCTTCCTGTTTGGGGCAAACCTTTGCTGCAGTTACACATGTAGCGGGTCAATAAAAACTGCTTCTGTTCTGCTCTACATTTTTATTTCTGCTGCTTTAATTTGGATTGTTTCACTCAGGCATGTTAACACTTTCATGCATTCTTGTGTTTTTTCTAATAATAAAAAGAAGAAACTCGGGATCACTGTTGTGTGTTTCTCAGTACTTTAAATGTAAGTCAGATGATGTGATTCCATTTTCTCCCAGCAGATTGATTTCATTTGGACGTGAAACTTTTCAGCTGATTTTCTGCTCTCATGCCTCCTGCATTAGATTTGACCCATGTGACTGTTGTTTTTGAACACAGGGATCTGAGCTGTTCGCCTCCAAACGCAGTGTACATTAAGCAGCATGCCTTTCATTTCTTATGACTAAACAATGTTTATGATTAAAACTATAATCTGTTTAAAAAAAAAACAAGTTTCCTCCTTCCTCCTTTTCTTCATATCTTCCAGTATGGTGCCATTTTATAGCACAATTAAGTAACTTTGTTACCGTCAGTGGTTATAAAAATGCTGTATATATGAAATGACTTTCTATGACGTAATTTAACACATTAAATTTGGGCCTCTGTCTCTTTAAGAAGCTCCTGCTCTTTCTGAAGCTCCGCCCTCAGGAAGTCGTCAGAACGTGCATAAAAGAATTAAACTCCAGGTACGTTTTAGACGAAGGAATAACATTATAACACAATGTAAATCTCAGAAAAGTTTATTTTACTTGCCCCTTTAAAACAAGCAAACAAAAAAAGTCAGTTGTATTTAGTGGTAAATAATTGAGCTTTTTAAAATGAGAAATGTGACAATGACTGAGTCAGCACTAAGTCCAGGTAATTGGCCATAATGTCGCAATGACAATATTTCTGTATTTAAAAATAAAAAATAAATAAAAATAAAAAATAACTTTTCCAATGTAATATAACTTTTAGAGAAGGGGTGCGTGTGGTTTTTATTAGCTGCATGCAAAAAGTCTTCAAAATCCCGGACAGAATCAGATCAATCAGTTCGCTTAATGAACTGAATTACTGCAAATAAACGACTTCCATATCACTTGGCATATTGCACATCACTGCGCATATACGTGTGTGGTAATAAAATGTTGGCGTGAATGCTGCTGCTGCTCTTTGTGTGTAAGATAATATTCCCAATAATAAAATCCCTGTGGGTCTGAAGTTAAGTTTCCAGTTTCTTTTTCCCCACCTCCACCTCCACCGCACACAAAGGCGCAGTCAGGTCCGGAGACAATGAGGGCATTGAGAGCAGACACGCTCCTTTATTTGCAGATGATCTCCCTTTACCCACATTTACCAATAAAGTATTTCGAATTCTTTCTTCCGTTTTGCTTTTCTTTCTCTCTCTCTCTCTCTCTCTCTTATTTTTTTTTATTTTTATTTTTTTTTTTTTTGCTTTAGACCTCTTGGCTCCTTTTATGGTTTACCCAAACATCAACCCATCTCCCCTCCCTTAAAACTTTTTTTTCTTTTTTTTTTCTTTTTTTTTTGGGTTTCCTCTGTGCGTCACACCAACTCGTCTCCCTCAGCCAGTTCAGGATGACTTCAGGAACTTCCTTCCTACTAACTCCACTTGTTGAATCGGCGCTTTTATTCACGCCTGGGCGCATCTGATCATCCCGCGGCTCCGCAAAAGGGAGGCGCAACATCTTCTTCTCCGCAACGTGTAGTTGTAGATCCTCCCTCTTTCCGGGTTACCGTAACCCTCTCATCGCATCGCGGACACGCAGACATCACCAGCTAAAGAGGCTGTTTGAATTTTTTTTCCTCCTCTCTTTGTCTCTGAAGATAATGTTAATGATGTGGCGAGCCGGCGGTCCGAAGTTTTCTGAAGAAAGTGTAGGGGCGCAGGAAGGAAAGATGTGACCACTTTTGGTGTTTCTTCTCGACGTCTGTGAGCTCGGGTTATGAGATCCGATCCTTCAAGTGTCAGTGTTCACATCACTGGAGCTGCTCGACACAACTCTGAGCCAAAACTTTCAGGATGACTTGAAGAGGCGGTTCACGTGGCGCCTGGTACCCCGGAGTAAGGTGGGTGTTTTGTTTACCCTCCCACAAAAAAAATCTCAGATGTGTTCTGGTAGATGAAAACAGAAGGAAGCGTTTATTTTTTTTTTGTCTAACAAAAGTAAAAAAAATAAAATAAAATAAAATAAAATAAAAAGTATTGTTAGTTAAATATTAATATGAGGCAGTTTAAACAAATGTATCTTTTTATATTCTCACTATGCTAATTTTGGTGTTCCACAAAAAAGCTGAAAATGATTGGTAATCTTGCAGCTGACAGAGACAACATTTCACTGTGGTCTTTATTATAGCACTTCCCCGGGGACTGAATCAGCTGTTGAGACTGTGGCCTGAGAACAAACAGTTCCATGTACTAATGAGCTGAGCAACAGGAGTCCAGTAAAAGTAGTCGCACAATCGTACTTTTCCCCATGTCACCACCAAAACCTGAAACGTCTTCTCCTGGGATTTCATTTGACAGGAAAACACAAAACCAGAGAATCATTAGCCAAGTGAGTTGAAGATGATTCAGGACCATGGTCATTTAGCAAATAAAAACCTGAAAACTGTGACTTGCATTTGCATGAATTCCAGTAACAGGAATTATTGAACAATTCCACGTCAAGAGTTTACCTGGAATTTACCTCATGAACGCACCGAGACCAGAATCTTTGCCATTTTTTTTTTTGTGAAATATGTTAAGTCCCTTTAGATCGGATTGACAGAGTATACGACCAGCAAGTTTAACATCTCTGATTCTCAGTTCAACTCAGAGACTTTTAAAAGACTATGACTTGATCTCAACCAGGTTTATTTTAGGGATGTTGTACCGTTAGAAGATGAATTTCGACCTCAGTTTAAATTCTTCTTTCCATCAGCTCCAAGCAGCTTCTTTGTCACTATTGAAGAAAACATCCCCTCAGCATCATTGTGCCACCACCATGTTTCAGCATGTGGACGGTGTGTTCATGGAGACGTCCAGTGTCAGTATGTCTCATTTGACCAGTCCACCTTCTTCCATTTGTTTGTTCCATTATAAGACTATCTTATTAATGCTATTTTTGGACTTGTCCCGATCTGATATTGATATAAAAATCAATCCGATTTCAGCCAAAAAAAAAACGAGTATCAGATTATTTACGTCTGCATCTAGAATCTCCAATATAAACAGGACTCTGCTCCAGTATTTAGTCCGCCATTGTTACGTATTGTTCTCTGTTTGGATAATATCACCTGATCAAACCTTTTCCAACATCCCACATGGAAAAATAAGTAGTAAAAAGTGCGCATGATTCATCCTGATATTGTTTTGGGGTCAATATTAGTATCAGCAAATTCTCAAAGCTGCAATATTTGTATCGTATTGCAAAGTGAAAAAATTGTATCGGGACACCCCGATTATTTTATTAAGGAGTTGTGGAGTTAGTTGTCTTGTCAACAGATTCATCTACCTGAGCTGCAGTTCCTCTAGCGTTACCACAAGCCTCTTCGGTTGCTTCTTCTTTTTATCTGTTTGTTTGGCCGCTTTATATTAAACACACCGTCATGTCTGGGCAGGTTTGCAGTTGCGCTATACTCCTTCAGCCTTCTATGACAGACTAAACAGAGCTATGTGAGATGTTCAAAGCTTGAAGTTATTCTTCAACAACCTAACCCTGTTTTAAGCCTATAATCACCCCTTACCTAAACAGGTTTACATTATTTTTCACTTCACTTACGTACCTGAAATGTGTTTGAAATGTTTGAAGGTTTTCCATGTTCTCATGTGAGTCGTAAATCCGTTGGAAAAGATTTTATTACCTTTCTGACCTATTTTTAAAAAGTCAATTTTCTTTTATTAGCTTTGCTAGGTAAGAGATTGGCTGGAGCTCAGTGGAAACGTAAGTTCCATTCCAGTTTCCCTCACCACATGTCGATGGGCAAAGCACTTAATCTCCAGGTGTCTACTGATTTTCATATCACTGTATCTTGCGAGTGCACCTGGGTAACTGGGACTGTGTGCTCTGGGCGCGACACACAGTTATGTGAAAAGTATTTTCCCTCCCACAACTGTCTTCTGTTTCTGTGTTATCACATTTAAATTTTTCCTAACAGTCAAAGTTTAATCTCAGTCAATGTTAACTCGAGTGAATAAATGACAAATTTGCTTAAGAAGAGAAGAAAGCTAGCCAAAGCCCTGTGTGGAAAAAGGTGATTTACCCCTGAACCTAATAACTGGCAGTGCCGCCCTTGGGGGCTGTTCTGGGGAAGAGCTAATTACATCGCTTTAATATTTGTGGTTCACCAGGAGGCGTCAGCAAGAATGCACAGTTGTAATGTTTCAGTTTTCTTTTTTAAAGTTGGTTTGTTCCTGGATGGTTCGCTATAGAAAAACTTGGATAGATATAAAAATATACATGTTGTCCCACTACAAAATACGCCATCTGGGATTTGTCCCATTCCGATGCGTTTCATCCTGGCCAATCAGCGAACAGAAGGAGGAGTTGCGAATGATGCCGTTGACTTTCCGGGTTGTTTTCACCAATGCAGTCTGCCTGTATAAGGTTGTAGGTTGGTGATGGCAGCAGAGGAAGTGAACGAAGATGTTCAGTTTGTGTTGGACACACTTCCAAATATCAAACAGTTAAAGTCGAAGTAAGAGGATTTATTGCTAGCAAATATGTTGTGGCTCTTCTTCCTGTGTGGCTGTTCACAGCCACTCAGTTTGCTATGAGATTCACAGCGTAGTTTCTTTCACAATTTAGCTAGCACATTACATAAGTGACAGCCGAAATTTTTTATTTTTTTGCAGAATGACTTTAATTCACGTTAAAGTTCATGACACAGCATGTCTCAGATTAAAATCCAAATGTTGACAGTCCAGACTCACCATTACCCTTTGGCTTGTGTTTAGGTGGAGAGCAGAATTCATGGTTTTATCATCCAGGTCCTGAAAAGCATTGTAACTCAAGACCATCATACTACCACTGTGGTGTTCTTTTTTCAGACAGAACATCTGCAGTGTATCATTGTCTATAGTGAATATAGAATATTTTCCCCTAAAGTCTTGTGGATCAAATGATCTGTTGGCCTTTGTCTTCTTATTGGTCAGCCTCGGAAAGCTCCTTTGACTCCCCCTTTTTTTTTTGGCCTGCTTGCGCCTTATTGTTGAACCACAAATTTTGACCCTAAATGTAAGGTCAAGTAAGGTCAGCAGTGCTTGTGACGTCCTGGATGAGTTCTCAATACTTTCTTTGAGTCATTTCTTTAGGCTGCCCTGGGAAAGTTGACCACTGTCCCACGTTTTCTCCGGTTGTGGATGATGGCTCTCATTGGGGTTCAGTGGCTTCCCAAAGTTTTAGAAATGGTTTGTAACCCCAACAAGACTGAAAAGATGCCAATGACTTTGCTTCTGTTAAGTTCTTGATTTTATTTATTTCTTTTTGTCGGATCATGATGTGATTTTTCATAATGTAACGAAGGGGTAGCTAGTAAAATGAAATACATCTTCCCAAAACTGTGGTTAAACAACATTAATTGTAGGGAGTCCGTTAGTTTTTGTTTTTTTCTTTTTTTCCCTCAAAAGGTTGGATAGGTTGGAATGGGTTTTCCTTCCTGATAAATGAAATCATTATTCACAAACTGCTTTTTGAATTTTGTCCGGTTGTCTTTGTCTGATATTAAAATTTGCTCGATCATCTGAAACATTTAAATATGACAAAAAAATAAAAATAAAACAAGAAGAGAGTACATCTGCTGTGGCCAAGCCTTTTTCATGCCACAGCGTTTTTAATCCACTTACCATTTCCATATTCAAACCTAGGCTGAGTTTCACACCACCTCAGCGTAATTCACTCCTATAATGTTTAGAAGCCACACTTCAAAGATTACACAAAGTTTCCGAGCTTCCTTGCTTTACATTTTACTTTAATCTCAACCGAGTTATTTTAATGGAGGAAACCTGCCTCAGGCCTGGCATTGAAGTCAGAGGAAAGAAACCCACACTTTGCATTGTGTCACAACATCATATCTCCTCACCTCCTGTAACCGAGCCATCCGTTTGCCTCTCATACGCTGTATTTTGTTGGTTGATTGGACGGAAGGGTACAGAGGAGTGAATGTGTCAAATCTGTTTGGTCGTAAGGTCTTATTTCGCATTTCGGTGCATCTCAAGCCATGTCTCATGCTGCGAGTCCTGAAGATGCCCTACCTGAGCACAGCTGCCAAATCTCATTGTGTTTTTGTATGTGCTAGCGCTGGGCCCTGCTGAGTCCAGGCAGTGGCCCAATTTTAGTTAGTTAGGGTTTCCAAATGCATTACAGCAATAGGAATGTATTCAAGGGAATGGGTGTGTGGGAGTTTATCCTGCCATCAGCTCTGGTATGTTGGTAAATCTTGTGAGACATACTTGCTGGGCATCTTTCTTTCACTGCTACATCTTAACGATCTCAGATTTAATCTCCACTGAAGCTCATAAGGTTTGTTCTCTTTAGGACAAACCACAAGATTCTGTGTCATTTGTTAAAAAATGACTTCAATTAGTAGGAGGGAAACAGAACGCACCTCAGAAACCAGAAAGATAGAGGATGGATTTCTCTGCCCCAAACACCAAAAACTGTCAGGAGCACGTAAGAATAGCCAACTTTCTCATCCATGGACCTTTGTTTAGACCCAGAAAGAACTCAGTTAATTATTCACTACATAAAGCCACGGTGGCGAGAAGAGGCAAAATACTAAAAGTGGTTTGACTTCAAAGATTCAAACCAGAAGGAAGTTCAAAAGAGAAGGAAGTTGCCTCACACCACACAAAATAAAGATCAACAGTATGATTTGGTGTGAAGGCCAAGCAACGCTGAGCTGTGGGCTCACAGGAATGAGATGAAGCTTAAACTCTTAGTCTGCTAATCATTACCTCATTTTGCCTCTACCTCCTCCGTTCCCCAGCTGTTGTTAATCACCTGTCATCAACTCCTCTGGTTCCTTAGTCACTTGCACTCCTTCTTGTGTTTACATAATCTCCCTCATCTCGTTGTTTTTCATTGGCTCCTTCTGTTGCTCCTACTCATGTTCCTGGCTTCCCATTGGTTCCTGCATTGTCCACTGTTTGGATTATTAGTTCATTGTTTATTTTTCATTAAAGAAAGTGACATACGTTATGACACCTTCATGTAATTTCAACTTGAGGTTTCTCTGATTTTGCTGAAGTGAATTGAAATATCCTTTTTGGACCAATCGGGACCGGATTGCTAAAAGAAGCAGCCAAATCATTTGCTCTGTGTTCTTATTTTTAAAACAAGGAGAACAGAGTTCATTGTTAAAATAATCTGTAGGGTGTGTTTTTAAAAAAAAATCAAGTCAGACTTGAATGAGAATGATGGTTCAAAAGTTTGTTTTGGGAAGATAATGTAAACTACAAAGGTTATTATAAAGGTATTTATCCTCTGAAAAAGTATGTGCAAATAGATGAAGCATTCTTGGTGTCATTTTAGCTTTGCTTAAATGACTTTCTAATAATAAGGGTGTGACAATACAAGCACCTGAGATGAAGTGAATATTTAATGACTGGAAAATTCAGTTTAACTTTGAGAAGTCAGTGGTTTATTTGAGCTCGTCTAGACTTCAACTTGGTCTTAATGCTAAAAATAATAACTAACTTTTTGCGTTTTCACCAAGAGAATTACTGAGATTCAGAAATCTCAACCTGTGTTTTAAATTGTCTCTGAGTGTAGATGTATCAGGTTTAGGTTCGATCAGTTTAAACATTTGCCAATACAGTAAAAATTAGCTGATTAGAAACTACAACTCAGGGAAGCTCTACAGTGTATGCTAGCTTCACCGTCGCCAACGGTCAGCTTTCCTGTCTTGTCTGTCGTTGTTTCATCGTTTCTTTTTACTACTTAGACCTTTAAGAGTTTTTGTAGACAAGTGTTGCTAGCAAAGGATGTTTTCATTTGCCTAATTTGTCAGCACAAAGAATTACTTTCTTTTATGCCTTAAAATAATACCGAAACACAGAAACAGTGTTTCCTGCTTGAAACAGTCATATTCTGGTTTCATAATACTGAGCTAAACTTAAAGTCACAAACTGACAGGGTCTGGACTGACCTTCACAGGATGGATTTCACTTGACAAGAATCATGCTGACATTTTATTACACTTCTAATCTCTGGTATTGTTTTTTCACTGCTGAAAACTGTGAAGTCTGGAAACAACTGGATGAGTTGGGAAATGACATGAGATGTCATCACACCCCAAATTATAATATGAATTTTATCTTTTTTTCTTTCTTTTTTTTTTAAAATAATAGCTATAAATTTAAATTTGAGGTGACCACCCAGCCATAATCTATTGCTGAATCTATCTGAAAATTGGGCATTGCAGCCTTGAGTTGCCCATCTGGATGTCTTATGTAGGAAACACGTTCTGTATTTCAGCTGAAGAGAGGCTGAGCTCTCCCAGCCTGGTGGAGACACACCAGCATTAATAATTGATTGAAGGACGTTTACGGCAGGGCTTCAAAAAAGGTGAAGAAACGTTGTGTTATTGAAACCGAATCCATTCACTCCTTGGATACCAAACGCAAACAGAGTTTGACTAAAAGAAAGGCTAGTGCAGCGGGTGAAACGTGGCCCCGTTTAAAACTTTACTGACTCTTGGTGCAAATATTCAAGTCATATTAGACCCAAAAAAGAAAACAAATTCCACAGTAATGGTTTGCTTCAAATGTTTATTCTGTGTTTTTAATCAAAAATACCACTCAATGTTTTGGTTTCTGTTCCTCAAGTGTGTTTCTTTTGTTTTGTTTTGTTTTCCCACAGGATGAATGCAAAGCGGTTCATGCTGAAGCTCAGGAAAAAGTTCATCCCCAGCCTCCTCTCCGTGCTGACGGTAATTATCCTGCTGCTGGTCAGCGCCAAGTACATCTACATCCCTGAGTTCCTGGATCCTCCACCAGCTCCAACCAGTCAGTCATTTGTCAAGCACAACATCAGCTGCAAAGCCATTTATGACATGGACCCAGTAGAAGTGGGTAAATCCCTCATCATCAGAAGGAAAACTGTGGTGGAAGATAAAGATGAAAGTCTGATCGACTTTACAGGAAATTGCCCTGTCTTCAGGAAGATCAGGGGTTATGATGATTTGTGTGTTTCCGAGGAAGAGAAGATTTTTCCCATTGCGTACTCTTTGGTTGTACATAAAAATGCGTGGATGGTGGAGAGACTCCTCAGGGCGGTGTACTCTCCCAACAACATCTATTGCATACACTATGACAAGAAGTCGTCGGCTCAGTTCGTTGCCGCCATGAAGGGTTTGTCCAGCTGCCTGCCCAACGTCTTCATCTCCAGCAAACTCGAGACCGTTTTCTACGCAAGCATCAGCCGCCTGAAGGCCGACCTCAACTGCTTGTCGGACCTTCTGACATCGGAGTTCAAGTGGAAGTACGTCATCAACCTTTGCGGCCAGGACTTCCCGCTGAAGTCCAACATGGAGCTGGTGTCAGAGCTGAGGGGGCTGAAAGGCTCCAGCATGTTGGAGACGAGTCGACCCAGTGAGCACAAGAAGCAGCGGTTTCTGTACCGCTACGAGCTGCAGGACGCCAGTTTTGAGTATAAGAAACTTCCGGTGAAAACACAGCAAGCAAAGTCTCCACCGCCGCACAACATAGAGATGTTCATCGGCAATGCCTACTTTGTGCTCTCGCGGGAGTTTATCCAGTTCATGAACTCGTCGGCTGTAGTGAGGGACTTCCTGGCCTGGTCGGAGGACACCTACTCTCCAGACGAACACTTCTGGGCCACACTTGTGCGACTGCCGGGCGTTCCCGGGGAGGTGCCCAGGTCCCAGCCCGACATCACAGACCTGATGAGCAAGACGAGGCTTGTGAAGTGGCAGTACCTGGAGGAGAACCTTTACCCGCCGTGCTCGGGGCAGCACGTCCGCAGCGTTTGCATTTTTGGGGCGGCCGAACTGCACTGGCTGCTCAACTACGGTCACTGGTTTGCCAACAAGTTCGATCCCAAAGTGGATCCCATCCTTCTTCAGTGCCTTGAGGAGAAACTGGAGGAGAAGCAGAAGTTGTTTCAGAAAGGGACAACGTTGACGTGCCCAAAAGGTTAGCTAAAATGATGGCTGTTGACTTTTCTTTTAATTGCCCCACAATCTTAAGAGACAAAGTCCATTGGACCACACAAGTCCGGTGGGGTCACGTGCACTTCTATGAGTTTTTTTCTTTTATTTGTGTGGTTTCGGGAACTGACGGTCTGACAGGACACCCACTAAGGAGCTTTTGTGTCGATCAGAAACTAAGACATACACACAAATATGCGTACTATAGGATTGTGTTAGTTATTTTTTTCTACATTCTGCGCTTTGCTACATCCATTCCTATTTTTTTGTTTAGAAACACTCCATCCTTTCTCCTTGGATTATAGATTTCTCTCTGTCACAAATCTAGGAACCTCGAGCATATGTTGTTTAATGAAGGAGAGAAAAACTACATCTACAATCAAGTTCAGGGACCAGCTACTTTCTATGTCACTGTGATTGTGGACTTTTCAACTCTGTATCTTTTCAAAATGCTTTATGAAAGATTTTGAGCATTGATGGAACAGCAATAGATTTCCAGTGCTTTGAAAACATTTAAACATGATTAAATTATTATTGAAGACTTGGGTTGCACAATGTTGACTATGAATAAATCATCAAAGTCAGTTCTGAAGTGTTACTATTTATTGAATAAAGTATTATTCTAACCAGATATACAGTACTTGGATGATCTGAAATGTACATTTATGGCTGAGGAAGACGTAAAGAAATACTGAACATACTGTACATCCTTGCAGGTATTACTGAATAGCAGGACTATGAATACAGTTTAAAGCAATAGGCACAATAGACACAAACAAAAACGCAAGTCCTGAATGAAAAATACTAGTTTTCTTTTCTTTAATGCTAATAGTGTCTTCTACTTGCCAAGGAGGAAACTTTAACAGAGTTTAGGGGGTAAAAAGTGTCGATTGATGCAAATATGTGCAAATTAGGCAAAACTCTCGCTATTGAAAACCGTCCTGGGATGTCACCCGATCTCCCCCAGCCTGTCCATGCAGTTTCACTCTTTAAGTTGATTTATCGTGTCCGTCAACAGTCCTCTAAAACGTCCACATCTAAAGCAGGAGCCGTTCACTGGACTTCTAAATCTGACACGGGGAGATTTCGCCGTGAGTCTCACTGGGAGAGCTGTGGGCAAAAAGCGGCGAGATAATTTAGCTTCTGATGAGCTGGTTATATAAAGTCATTTTATTAGATCAGTAAACAGCACTCACTAAACCATTTAAAAGTAATAAAAAACTGCACAATGGAGTGGGTTTTCTTTTTCCATAGTTGAAACCAAATGATCACAGTAAAAATTTGCAATCTAAAGTGTAAAAACACTCGAATATGAATACATAAATTGCTCCTGTTCACTGCTGTTTGGTTTTAATCCAGGCACCCTCTTTTTGGTCTGATCAAAGTTTTTTTTTTTTTTTTATGAGAAGTGCTTGTCACATTTTTTATGTGGTTGCAGAAACAACATCATGAAAGGTTTCATTCTTCACATCGTCACTGTGAGCGGTGCTGTGAAACTAAATGTCCAATTAGCTTTAAAAGACAGTTGGAAAGACAGCGACTCAGGAATGGGGTCGCAGTATCAGTGTGTGCATTATTCTTATTGCAAAGTATGATCAGAAGGGAAATCGTTGTTGGTTAATATATTCCAGCTGCCGTCGGACATAAATAAAATTGCCAAATAGGTTAAAGGTCACAGAGTGATGGAAGATGAAAATGAGAAGACAGAAGAAAATGTGCATATATGACAGCTGATGTTGTCATTGCAATATTCACTAATAATATCTCCAACAGCAATCAGAATAACTCTCAAATACACAAAATAAACGTACTAGTTGTGTTCTGAAAAAGCAGCAGGTTAACCGTTGACAAGATGGCAGCCATAAGGTCCTCTTCAGGAAATCTGTTGAAAATTCACTCCGTTTTTCATACGTATATCGCAGGGTTGGTAAAAAAAAAAAAAAAAAAAAAAGTCACTGTGAGTTTTGGTGACACTTTATTTGAAGGGGAGTGCATAAAACTGACATGACACTGTTATAAAGATGACATAACATCTTGTCATGAACATAAAGAAGTCTTTATGAATGTTTATGACAGTTGTCATAAAGTGTCATTCGGTAAATAATGACACTTTTAATGCAAAGTTGCTCTAAAAGTTGCATTAAAAGTCCATTAAAAGTGCCAACTTTGCATGATTTTTTAATTATAATTTAATGCAAAGTTGGCATTTTTAATGGACTTTCAATGCAACTTTTAGAGTAAATTTGCATTAAAAGTGTCATTATTTACCGAATGGCACTTCATGATAACTGTCATAAACATTCATAAAGACTTCTTTATATTCATGACAGGTGTTATGTCATGTTTATGACAGTGTCATGTCAGCCTTATGAACACCCCTTCAAATAAAGTGTTACCTGAATTTTTTTCCAGTAATCCTGCAGCCCTACTGAGGACGTCTCGGTCAGGTTTGGGTTTCCTTCAGTGAGATTCTCTCAATAGCCTGATGGAATTTGGGCCATTCCTCCTGACAGAACTGGTGCAAGGTTTGTAGCCTGTCTTCCTCACACACACACACACACACACACACACACACACACCTCTGCCATTTCCCATTTGAAAGACTCCTTTCTGTGCAAACTCTCACTTCCTAGCTGATGTCTTGAGCTGCTTTGGTTTTTCACATTGAATGTGTTTTAATAAGATTTGTAGTTTCTCTTCATTTGCTTCTGATTCTGGGGATTGAGGGTAGACCAGAACCAGAACAGCTGAGTGTTCTTGAATTGATGATACGACAGCAGATCTCTAATGTGTTGTGGTGCTAAACCGTTCAGTGATTTATAAACTACCAACAGTGTTTTAAAGTCTATTCTCTGAGGGAGACAGTGTAAGGATTTTGGAACTGGTTCTTCCTGGTTTTAGTGAGAACGCGAGCAGCAGCAGCGTTCTGGATCATCTGCAGCTGGAGGATTGATTTGTTAGTCAGACCTGTGAAGACGCTGTTGCAGTAATCAATGCGACTAAAGATAAACACATGGATGAGTTTCTCTAGATCGTGCTGAGACATTAGTCGTCTAATCCTGGAGATGTTCTTCAGGTGATAGAAGGCCGACTTTGTGACTGTCTTAATGTGGCTCTGAAGGTTCAGGTCAGAGTCCATCACTACTCCCAGGTTTCGGGCCTCATTTCTGGTTTTCAGTTAATCAATCAATCAATCAATCAAATTTTATTTGTATAGCACATTTCAGCAGCAAGGCTGCTTTACATACTTAAAAATCAAAATAAAAACAGCATGTGACATTGAAGTTGTAATAACTGAAGCTGTGCATTGACTCTAGTTCGCTCCTCTTTAGGTCCAAAGATAATAACTTCAGTTTTGTTTCTGTTCAGCTGGAGAAAGTTTTGGCACATCCACATGTTTATCTGTTCTAAGCATCTATTCAGTGATTGGATGGGTTCATACGACCTGTTTATTTGAAGAAGAGTTGTTTCATCTCCACAGGCAGCGTTTATCTCAAAGTTCACCTCCTTCCATTGAATTGTTATTTCTATATACTGAAGTCATTGCATAACACTGAGCTGCTCGTAGAGTTGAACGTGGGCTGACCTCGGTATCAGGGTCGGCCAGGCATCCTGCCCTGGTTCAGCTTGGAAGTGGAAAATTATAAAAACTGTGACTTTAAAATAACTCACAAGCAAAGTTACCAGAGAAGCCAAGAGTCACATGACAGTCCTAGTTCTGTTTCAGGAAATCCACAGTTCAGGTACATTAAAAGTGCAATGTCTGTTGGAAAAAAAAAATAAAAAATTAACCACTGAACACACCTACCTCAACACGAAAGCATGGTGGCAGCCGGATTGACGGGAAGATCAATGGAACCAAAGTAGATCAAAGTTGGCCTTTATTTTTAAGTGTTATAAACAAATAAATAAAATAAATAAATAAAATAAAAGTATTAGAGGCTGCAACAGACCCAAGACAGAGGCAACGACCCAAACATACAGCCAGTGCTATAATGGGATGGGTTCAGATGGAGGAATGTTCATGTTTTAGAGTGGCCCAGTCAAAGTCCAGACCTAAATTCAACTGAAAATCGGTGGCAAGACTTCAAATTGACTGTTTACAGATCATTTTGGGCAGCTTCACGGTGCTTGAGCTGGTTTGCATAGAAGAATAGGTGAGAAAAACTTCAGTTAGATGGAAAAATCTAGTAGTTGAAACGAAAGGTGGAGAAAAAAAAAATCACACTTCCCAGATTTTTATCTGCAAAATGTTTATTTATTAACTGTTCAGCCCAAAGTCCATACTTTGGTATGAGCCAACACAAATGCACTTTTGCACACTTTATCTATCTGTGTCCAAGTACGATGGTGGCATTAGATCTGATGACCTTCTTAATATCAGTAGTTTATACCTCATGTTCTGTTGTGTCTTTATCTTTGTTTCTTCTTTTAGGTTTGTTTTCTCACTTGCTGCCTCTCACCCAACTGATTGGGTTTGTTTTTTCCTTTTTTTTTTTCTGAACCACAAATCATTCACTTACCGTCACTGAGGAGGAACTTGCATTTATAACATGCTGGTTTAAACACACGTCTATTTTTCTCACACTTATCAAAGGTCAGGTTACCTTGGTGTCGACGGGAGCCGTCTGGGGGGGACGAGGCGAATAAATGGCTCAAGGAGCTTCTGTTCAGTTCAGTCCAGGTAAAGTGGGTGAAATAATAAACAAACAGCTGAAAAACAAACATGAAAATATGTGAAAAGACACACGTTATAAACACTCTGTGCATCAACCTTTTCAACAACAAATTGTGCATTTGTGTCAGGCTGCATGTGACAAAAATAAGGATCTGAATCAGGTTCAGTTCTGTCTAAAGTTTCTATAAGTAAATTCAGATATCGTCAAACAGTTTGTCTGTTTCAGTGATTCAGTTCTAAATATCAAAATTATTCTTTTTTTTTCTTTGATAATTGTTACACATTTCAAGCCTTTACTCAATTTGGTAATTACTGGAATATGTACAGCATTTAAGATTTCAGCCAGAGTTGGGGGGGAAAAATGTCCTGAAATCAATCAAATTTGCATCAAAGCATTTCTGATTCTGGATTCATTTTTTCAGCCTATGTAGAAACATAACAAATGGACTGAAAGCAATGCAATATGTTACCATGGTGCAACGACCGACTGGAACAGCTCAGACACTTGGCTACACGTCGTGATAGCTGGATGCAATATTTGCTTCCGTTTCATGTTTTTAAATGTTTCGTCACGGTTAAAACCTTCTGTGTCACTTTGACCAGAGGCGCCTCTGTTACTGTCTGGGTGTAGCAGCTGCACGAAAGCAATCAAGAAAAATTGCTAAATTTTTCTCAATTTTGCAATCAACCTAGTTTTTGTAAACTGCATTCAATTTCTGTGCAGCACAAATCCAGAAAACTGCAGAACAGCCGAAACACTGAGCTCCTTCAAATCAAAGCAAAAAACCCACCGACTTAGATTTTTTTTTTTCACCATAACAAATGAAACATTGGTCAACATATTTGATGTGCAGTGATTATTTTGATGAGGGAACCGGTCACAATATAAGGCCGTTTCTCAAGATTTGACTGTATATCATTTTTATGACCTCCTATTCTTGTGTTTTTATGAT